TAATGTAATATAAACGATACATTAAATGAGCAAAAGCTAAATTTAGCCATGGGATTATGTTTGGTTCCAATCTTAGCTAGCAAATGCATTGCTCAATTAGATGTTCGCCTAATTCAAGGAAAAACTCCTAATTGCTAAATTGTCAGTTCGCTAGATGGACGGCACAGCAAAAAAAGTCTACATGAATTTCACAAGTTGGTAAACGAAATAGGTTAAAGGACTAGATTTACTTTAGTATTGTACAAAGATGTTAAGTCACCTTTTTAGGTGACATGACGTCACTGATAAGTCTGCGTCTAGCAAACATAAACAATCAGGCATGTCAATAAACTGAATTTGAAAGAACCTCCTGATGGAATGACGTTGGAGTACCTTTCAGTTCGTTTGAAGAAATGAGTGAAAGGCATTCATCGGTTGGCCTCATCGGAAGCCATAGGGGCATTGCCTTGGAGCACGAATCTACAATCACAGCTCCAAGGCAAACCCCTTCACAGTTTCCGATGATGTCAAGATACGAATCCTTTCCACTCGCCTCTTCAAACGAAATGGAAATTACTCCGGCATAAAAAATCAGGACAAGAAAATGTTAAGATCAAAGATAATTCGAGTTATAAACAAATCTCAGCGAGGTCTACTTGAAACTAATTTCACAATACTAAGGAATAAGATAGAATGAAACATTTATAAAGGGTAAAACATGGAGTTTAACAGCTTGGCTTGGTTCCGAATGTTGCCACCTTATCAAATTTCCAAATTTCCACTTCAAGCTAGAAGTTGAAATAAAGTCAAATATGAAAACTAGTAAATTCTTTAATTATGCTGTCTGGTCGAGAATATTCGGATACTCTCTCCAAATAAAGCTATTATAAGGAATTGTCCTCATTGGGTAGAATGTACGTGGGGGATAACTGTCAACCCGTACAGTTGGCCGACTGAACATGAAAACGCCTGCATTGGTTTATTGGTACATAAAACCAAAGTGGACGAACATTTGGCTATTAAAAGACGCCATAAAGAGTTGTCTCAAATCCAATCTTTTTATTTAATTGAAAGATTAAGGAATGAATCAGAGTTAAGAAAAATTTTTAAATCTTGATTAGAACAAATGAGTGTAGAAAAATGATTAAGAACTACTTGCGGCTGCTGGGTAAGAGGCTTGATTAGCCTAACAGAATCTTAAACGACTTGTAAGCACTGCACACATACAGCATATGTGCAGCCACGCATCAGAACACCCCGCAACGTAGCCGGATCAAACTCCACTTGTTTTGGGTAGACAAACAGCTGTTCGGCCTCATCACACTTTCCTCACGCATACATTTCCCACATTTGCAAGCATGTGGGAGAAGCACAAAATGACCAACCAAATCATGGTACGTCTCGTTAAAATTGTAAAGATAGCTTTTTATAAATAGGAAGGATTGAAGTCGACAACTAGTCTTAGTTTCTTGTTAAGTGAATTTCGTTAATGTGACGATGTCCATAACATTGGGGCAGACGAAAGGCCATAGCGACTCTATCGGGTTCGCAGGATGACGTGCAGGGGACTTATTCGTAAAGATCACATCACAACTACTTTGGTTTTAGATGTGACTAATTTATGAATTCCTTCCAACCAACCTTTCACACGAATTGGAAAGTCAGTATAAAACGAGAATTGAAAAATTGCCCAGTTTTCATATCATCCCTCCAGTCACCTACCTTTCGATCAACCTAATTCAGAAGCCAGGTTGAAAGTCTCCTTGAGGCCTAGCTTTAGCCATTTTTGTGTCAGTGCTCAAATGGCTTCCAACCGTTCATCGGATTGACAAACCTGTCCTAAAGCCAATCAGCGTGGAAGAGCGTGCCCATTCTCCAGCTGTTTTTAAAGCCTGAACCAACAAGACAAAATGCCTACAGCTTCGTAAGTAGAATAAATTTGCCTCCTTTCAACAGTCATCTTCCCTAACTTTGCATCCTCCGTTCCATGAAAGACACAAAGTTATAGCTTAAAAAGGATACCCAATGCCCAGCCCTCGATAAAAAGCGCTCCTCTTGAGCTGAAGCTTGTCATAATTGTTTCACAGTACTGCTTTCCTGTTGCCATACGAGTGTCTGGAAGTAAAGTCCATCTGAAATACTCAGCTAATCTCAGCTCGTTAGTAAAACAGAAGGAATCAAATTGAAAGATGTAGCCTAATGCACAGCATGTGCTTCGTGAAAGATAGAGTAGAAAAAGATAAAAATGAACCTACCACAAACAAGAGTTTCGCCAAAGAGTTTCTTGAATTCGAGAAAACGACTTCCGTCGACCAATCTGGCAATGACTTCACGAATGTCGAATGACCTACGCAGATTCGATCCAACAATTCCGTAGAGTTCTTCGCTGGAGTAAAGAGGATCCTCTACTTCTCTCAGAGCTACCTGCTCAGGAATACAAATAAGTTTTATGGAGCAAAAACAAAGTTATAAACAAAAAATTCAGGATCGTAAAACTTTGAAGGACTGAAAAAAGTGAAAATATAAAGATCAAGATGGTGTGACCCTTTCGATTTATAAAAGTGGGTTGACCTCGTTTTCGCAATTTGTTGTTGTCAGGACGACTTAGTTGGACGCACCTTGTCCGAAGTCAGCTGCTATAGTGGTCATTGTAGGTGCCAGCATCAGACAGTGGACTTGATACATTCTCAGACGTTTCGCCGGCATCATCAGTGAATGCTGTCCTTCTCCGCATCAGGCTACGAACTCGTCAAAATGACAAGTAAAGTAAATCCCTTGACCAACTTTCTGCCGAAACGGTTGCGACATCTCTCCTCTTTCTGTCCTGGTCCGTCCATCTGTCTACTCCTTACCCTCTTATCCCACTCCCGGCCTAGCACAACTTCTCACTTGTTTACATTCCACTCGTCAAAAGGAGTGTCCTTTATGGCAAGTTTAGTGTCACCTCATCACACCTACTGTTCGCCTCGCCCCCCTCTTTTCCCATCGACTACTCCGACTCATGCCTCCGATCCGGATCTGCTTCATGGTCTCGTAGATCTGTTTCTAATCTTTCTGATTGGCAGATTTCACTTTAGAGGCAGGTACCCTGTCGCCTCCCCGAGCAGAGTGCCCAGGCTCTGATTGCCATGCTTGCAGAAATCAGGTATTGCCTTCACGGGTCGTGTTCTTGATAAAACTCGTGTTACCTGAGCAAACTGAAGACGCCTATTTGTAGTCACATGCGGCATCTCGAGTGGATTTCTAGTACATTATGGCCATAAATCCGAATTTATGTGACGGTTGTGCTTTTCCAACGGCCTAGTTCCGTGACCGCCAGGCCCCCAAAGTTGTACTGGTTTCTTCGAGCACACTTCACTCACTGACAACGTCTTGGTTTCATTTCCGAAATTACCTCATCCCCTTTATCGCAAACCACTTTCCTCCGGTTAGCGACACATCCTTCATCCAGGCGTCTCCTTTTAGATGGTCTTGCTGTATTCTTGTTTTTCCCAAATTTGCTCAAGCAATTGGCCAAGTTAGCGCTAACTCCACCTTCCTCCAATCTCCTGTGCGTTGGATTTCCTCCCCAAGCATTTCAATAGCCTCCCTAATCTTACGCTCACTTGTGCTTTCACCGTATGAAACGATTCCTTATTTTGCCCTCCAATTTATCTCGTGTCCAGTCTCTGCGAAGTGTTCCGCTAATTCTCATCTTTCGGTATCCATTTTCCTGCAGAGCCTTTGATGTTCTATGATTCGTATCATAATTTTTCTCTCTATTTCGCCAATATATTTCTGCTCACAGGCGCCTCAGTACACTCCTGAACAATCCACTTTGGCTACGCTTTCAGATTGCGTCGATAGACTCGTGAAAGGTGTTGATTTCTCTTTTATGGCCACCCAAGTATTCAATTTCCTCAATATTGGCTGTAGTTTGTGAGTTAGTTAACAGAAAGGTAGGCATTTCCACTTTTGTAAATCCTCCTCGATCCTTACTGATCTTTCGTGGTCCCCGTTCTGCCATCGGCTTTTCACGGACCCTGCTCTTCTTTGTAATGCTTCGCTTGGGTAGCCGTTGCCGAGGGATATTCGAGTCAATTTGTACAATTCTTCATCCCAGAATTTCACATCCGTTAATCGTAGGCTTTTGATGATCCTGCTCCCTAATATCCCTAGCCTCGGTCTGTTGTTGTGATGGGACTAGAAATTGAGTATTATTCCGGCATATTACTTCTCTTTCTTAATATATATGTATATATATTTACACACATACATACATATATATACATACATACATACATACACATATAT